GAGTAGGTAAAGATCCTTCCAGGGCTACTTTAATGAATGGTTTATAATTGACTAAATATAGTTTATAAACCTGTATTGGGAAAGCTATTTCTAAAATGCATGAAACCATCTCCCACCCCATAAAATCAGAATACAAAATATTCCCGCAATCCTACATACACCATTGTATTGCTCTGCAGGTTCATTTTTCATAAATGTTGCCAATATAATGTTCAGCCAAGTCTCTGTCTAAGTTAATGAAGTTCCACTAGGGTGTAAGAAAACAAGAAAGTACTGAGTTCTCAAACAGACTTTTTGCCATTGATCTGCCCAAGAAATGTATAAGACACTGAATCATTTCCTTGTCTCTAAAAAATATGCATTTCCTTGACAATCGTTCAGTACTTTAATTGGAATAAACTGAAGATTATCAATGTAAACCACCCAAACAGACTTGAGGAGAGCACTTGAGGGATCATCTTTTCGGCTGCTAAGTTAGAGTAGGGGAGAACTTCCAATGATGGTCCTATCTTATGCCCTGAAGGAGATGTACTCAGTTGTCACATCTGAATGCTTGTTTGCCACATATTTTGCTAAATGATTTTTCGGTTTTACTATAGTTTCTAACAAACAAGCATATGAGAGAAATGTTAGAAAAAAATGTAGTACAAGTAGAAATATTACTAGTCTTTTTTCCTGCACTTTGCTTCCATTTCATGGCTGCAATGAAAATGATGGTCATCAAAATTGGCTATAAAAGAATTATGTAAATTTAACTAAATTAATATCATTTTTCTTTTTGGACAAAATCTCTCACCCCCTGCTGAAACATCTGTTTTTTGCATACATGAGAATTTTCGCAGATGCTGGCACGAAAAGTCTATGTATGTATTTTGACTTTCTGTTTAAAATCACATTCAGAGATGACATTCCACTGCTGGGATATAAATCAGAACTGAAATTACAATACCACACACGATTTTATTGATGCCACTTGTCCACTACTTAAAAAATTTACGTGTTTGCAGGAATTACTTCTAAGCTCTTTACCAACATGCTTTCCACCCACCTAAGTGGTAGGATGGCCACTATTGTTATTAAAACTCCCTCAAATTCTACTCTAAAACTAGTGAAGTCATGTTTATTATGGTGTGCAAAATGGGTCATTGTGATGCAGAGGCAGATGGTGGGGCTGGCCAATGACTCTCTTAACAATGGATACTGATCAGTTCCTGGTCAAGTGATCTAAGGCATGATTGTGTCAATCAAGAAAAACAGCCATGACAACAATAATGACAAGCCCTGCTGGGCTAGGCTGCTGACTGGAAGGTACAGCTATGGTGACACAAACTTTCTTCCTCAGACGTCTCTAAAGAGATGGTTCTTTCTTGGTTTTTGTCATGTGTTCATTAAAAAAGAAAAGGCCTTGCAACTTTCTAGGCACATACGCGTTTTTCTGTGAAAATTAAATTGTTCACAAAATCATTATGCCCACTTTCAGAAAATAAGAGACAAATAACTGCTGAATCGGCTCTGGGAGGCTTATGTAACCTATATTTACAAGTGTTTTACTCTGAAGCAAGTAGCTGGGCAACTTAGTAAACATCTGCAAGAATATCCTAAAATTATTTTTTCCACTGCTATGTTAGTCTAGCTATCACAGAACTGCAGAATCAATCTGCTATCCATAAGAACCCCAAACACCATCACATCAAAAAAGTTGCAGATATCAAAAACATAATAATTCAGAACTGTAGTCAAGAAAAGCATTAAATAAAAAACCACCACCACCAACCTTTGCTTGGGCTTCTGGTGCTGTCACCTTGACGACCTTATTGCGGTTTATCATTTGCTTCACCCATTTTTCTACTTGGACGTTGAATTTCATGAAAACCACATAGCAAAAATAAGCTGTTAAGAGAAGCAAGCTTTCCCACCACATGATGACATTATCCAGGAAAAATATGATCAGCATGATCAAGTCAACAATGTAGAAAGACACATCTCGAAAGAGCGGCCACCATGTCAGGTTTAAGATTTCTCTGGAAAACAGAGCACACATGCCAATAACAAAGAGGATGTTGAATACTGCTGAACCTACAATTGTGCCTATGCCAACGTTGCTGTGAGCGATAAATACCCCTATGAGAGATGTGAAAAGTTCTGGGGCTGACCCCCCTGCAGCCATAAAGGTGGCTCCAGCCACATCATCAGAGATGCCCAGTTTTTCAGTGATGACAGTCAAAGAAGGAACAAAGAACTCATCACAGACAATGGCTAAGGCTATGAACATGTAGATCATTCCAATGACATGCAGAATGATTGCACCTTTTCTTCTCTCCTCAAGGGAAAAGATGTCTTTCGGGTAGTCTCCTTGGGCATGATCTGTACTATTCTCAGACTCACCTTCCTTAGGAATAGGTGGCTGTGGAGTATAATCCTGAATCTTGTCATTTAAATCTAAGAGAGTTCTCTGACGGTAACCCTGTGCTACCCTAGGGCCACTTACAACACTGGCCTCTCCTGTGCTTTGTGTGTCTGTCTCAGAAAAGGCACTGATTGAAAATGAGACAGTGCTAATGGCTACCAGACCCATGAAAAGGCCTAAGATTCGAATTAACTTCAGTTTTTTCTTGACATGATAATGTCTTCTGCAGCCAGACAGTGACTCATCCAAACACCATTTCTCTAGGAAAGTGATGGTGGTGCTTTGGTGCAGATCCATCCTGGGTCTTCTGGTGGATATGGTGATCTTCCAACTTTAGACTCAACCAGATGGTTCTTTCATACTTTTCCTTACTTTATAGTTAACGATGCTTGTGGGGCACTTTCACAATCAGGGATTCTTATGCTTCACAGGCAACTTTCAGCATTTATGCTTAAATAAAAATAAAAAAGAGAATAAGTACATCATAAAATCATGTCTTTTTAATAAAAAGATATTTGCAGATATGATTAAGTCCTGTCCTGCAGCTGTGTGATCTTGGATAAGTTACTTTACTTCTGTGCCTCAGTTTCTTCATTTGAAATGGGGACAGTTACAGTACCTATCACCCAGGATTGTTTTTAAGATGAGTAAAAACATATGTAGCACTTAGTATAGGATGTGGCACTTATGAAGATGTATGTATAAACCCAAATAAATATTTTGGTAAATCCAATGATAGGTGTAGAGAATGCAGATGTAAGAATAAAAATTTTATAGGTGAAAAATCTATCAGATTATCTCATCTTAAATCATGTAACAACCTTCCAGTGCTATAAGTAGGTCCCACTTCTTTCAGAACTGTCTAGGTACTTGGCAACTAACAATTATTCATTGTTTTCTTTTGGTCCAATTATATAATTCTCAATTGTAGGCAAATTTTTCTGATTTAAGCTATCATTTGGAAAGTGTTTCTTTAATTTAGTTTTATTTTTTCTGCACACACAGTGATATCAGATCTTATTTTTCATAAAAAGCCTCTCCTTTATCAGATGTGGGAAAGTAGTCCTTTACAAATTTAAGTTTACAAAAAAATATTCTGGTGATATGCACAAGCTGTCTTCCCTAAACTAGACATTGTTTTCAGCTAAAGCTTTTTTTAAAAAACAGCCTTTAGTCATATTTAAAATAGGCAGCGTAGTAAGTCAAACAACTCCCAATGCAGTGAAATAACAAGGTTATTTCGAGAGACCACATGTGTATTTCATAAACAATACGCAAGTTGTAGCAATACCTCTGTCCACAAAATCTGCCCAAAATAGCCCCAGCACTGACTTTAATAGGTTAGATATCCAAAGCAGAGTTTTCATTCTCTATCCCATGGAGGAGATGGGTAAAATAGCCAGACATGACAGCTGATATTCTGAAGAGTCCTCTTTTTAGTTTTCTTTAAAAAGACTATTCTTTTCCATATCAACGATTTCATTTTGGAGGCAGTCGCTGAGATAATCTCAGGTGTAAAATAAGCTAATTAAACACACGCTACTTAAATACTGAGATTAGCTGGAGCTCAGGTTTTCAGAGCAAAGCAAGAGCACAAATCAACCCAGCTGAGTTGCTGCTACTCCTGAGATAACCCGAACCCATCACGGAGATTCCCAGCTGGCTGCGAACGTCAACGCTTAGCAGGAACGATTAAGCGATTCACAGCACTCGGGGGATTGTCTAAATGCCCGGCCCGGGCGACCATCAAGGGACAGATTCAACTCCCCGGGCGCAAAGTCATCTCCAGCCGGATCCTCGCTTCCCCTGCAAACCCACCGCTCATCTCCCCGAGAGCTGCCTCCGTAGGAGAAGTTCGCCCCCAGCCGCGCCCCAACTTTGCCTTGCGTGGTCCCAAACTTTCCCTGGTGGATTAATAGGAAAATAAATCTAAAGGACAGACACCCCACCTGTGAGCTTAGAGCTGGGTTGCATTTGGTGAGGCGGTTGGCCCGCATCCCCCTGAGTCGTTTGTAGGTGACTGGGGAAGGGAAGCGCCCCTCTACGCGTCTCCCCCGACGGCAGGCCTTTCCCCGCGCTCCCCATCCCAAGCCAAAAGCAAGGGTAGGAGAGGCGGGGGCTCCAAATCCGCGCCCCGGAGCAGAGAGAGTTGGCTAACTCCTAGCGGGGCCTGGGGCGCCCACATCCACGGCAGAGCCACCTGTGAGACTGTAGCGCAGCAATGGGATGCCCGCAACCGGGATCCGGGCACCACGACCACCACGGCTACAGCGGCAGGCGGGGCGCAGCCGCCCGCACTTACCAGGATAAGATGGGAGGACGCGCACACGGCGGGGCCCCCGAGCGCGGCCCGCCGTTGCAGTCCGCCGCTCTCTCCGGCCCTCCGCCTACCCGCTCTAAGGCCCGGGCTCTGGCTCGCACTGGCCGCCGTTCTCGCCAGCCGGGGCTGGTCTCTGCAGGAGACTGAGCCGCTGTGAGCCCGGCGCTCCGAGTCTGCCGCTGCCCGGCCCCCGCCGGCCCCTCCCTCTGGGCTGTGCGCTGGGAGCGGGGCCGCAGCGCGCTCAGCTCCCGAGTCCTTTGCTCCACGCCTCCTGGGCGCAGAGGCGACGCTGGCAGCAGTCTCTTAGGAGATTTCTCTGCAGTGTGGACGGGGGTCAGGATTTGCAGGCGAGCAAGGGCAGAGAGGAGAAATCGTACAGGTCGGTGACGCGCCTAATTCACAAAGCCTGAAAGTGCTGTCAACTTTGGGGTCATCTTATGCTGGGCACCGCCTCTCCAATTATCTGCAAAAAGTGATAGCAGCCGCGCTTTTCTTTAGGAGGCGATGCGATGTGTAATGGTGGAAAAAGACGTTCAGTGAAAAGGAACGGAGGCCTGCAGGACAGGCTGTTGGAGTTCAGGGTTTCTTGAGTGTTGCATTTGGATGCTTGGGACACTGCAGGGGCTTCAGGCTTGCAGGGTGACCTTTCATTTCATGGATGATGAGAGTGAGACCCAATACCCAGTGTCATTTTGAATCACTGATAGGCTTCGGCTTCTGGCCTCGGGATTTCCAGCCTAGTGCTCCTTCCTGTCCTGTCTGGAAAGCAAGATCCCCTTGACCACAAGAAATAGAATCAGGCTTGTTGGGGCTGAAAGACTAGAATCCGGGCCGAAGAATGGAAGACGATGGTAAGACAAACTGGTAGTGAAGGAACCCCTTTACCCAACCCTGTGCCCACCAGCAAAGCTGCCAAGAGGTACCCACCTCGTGACGCTCTGGAAGCTTTTCGCACATTTTCCCCTCTCCTTACCCTCCAACCTTCTGTTCTCTCCCCCATCCAAGAGGATTTCCTCATGCCCTCCTTATGATGGGGGTAATGGGTATATCCTGAGAGCTCCTGACCTCTAACTTAGAGTACAGCTCCGTAGTCAGACCTCTCTGGCTACTCATCGATAAGTCAAGGGAAGCCTTGGGAACTTAGAAATCTTTTTCTCCCCCCTCCCTCCCAATCAAAGCCAGGCATTCAAGACTCAACTTTTTTTTTTTTTTTCCTTTCTCCTTTCGAGACTGGATCTTGCTATGTTGCCCAGGCTTGTCTTGAATTCCTGGGCTCTAGCCATCCTCCAGCCTCAGACTCCCAAGTGCTTGAAGACTATAGGTGCCTGACTGAATTTTTTATCTTTAACTTTTAATTTAGTAAACTTCAAACACACACAAATGTAAGAAAGTAGTATAATGAATCTCCGTGGGGCCAGCACCAGCTTGAACAATTATGAACTCACGGCCAGTCATATTTCATTTACACCCCTTTTTCTTGTGTCATCATTTTGAAGCAAATCCCAGAGCATCATATCATTTTATCTGTAAATATTTTCAGAAAGTAAGAAAACTATCAACTACCACTAGGGTTGTGTCAAGAAGACTCAGGGGACAATTCAAACAGGCAGTCATTGACCAAAGATGAGCTAATTTGAGCATCCAAAAAAAAAAAAAAAAAGATAATCGCAATTGTTTAAAACACATCAAACATGATTATATCTATTAATTGATAATATTTTAAAAACAACTGAACAGATTGATTGCTTGATGGTTGAGAGGGAACCAGTTCATAATTTTCAAGACTATTTTAGGAAAAAGAAAACAATTGTGCATTTATTTTGCTTTTTCTATACAAATTGGACCTCTGGGTAACCAATTAGGCTTTATTTTTACCCTGCCTTTGTCTATTTTCCTAGTTTAACAATCCTATTCTTCCCTGAGGCAATAGGTGCCTCTGGCTACATGGGGTGTGGAGGGGAATATCATGCACAAAGTTCTGCTTAAAAGAAAATATTTTAACATAATTAAAAAAATTATTTCTACAACCATGTCATACTGTTCCTACCAGGATCTTTTGTTGTTGCTGTTTGTTTTTGTTTTTAAATTTTTATTTCAATAGGTTTTAGGGTTCAAGTAGTTTTGGTTACATGAATAAGTTCTTTAGTGGTAAGTTCTGGTATTTTAGTGCACCCATCACCTGGGCAGTGTACACTATACCCAATATGTAATCTTTTATCTCTCACTTCCTCCCAATCTTTCCCCCGAAGTTCCCAAAGTGTATATCATTCTAGTGCCTTTGTATCCTCATAGTTTAGCTCCTACTTTTAAGTGAGAACATACGATATTTGGTTTTTCATTTCAGAGTTACTTCACTTAGAATAATGGCCATTAATTCCATCCAAGTTGCTGCAAAAGACATTATTTCATTTCTTTTTATGACTGAGTAGTATTCTGTGGTGTATACCATATTTTTTAAATCCACTTCATTGATAGGTACTTAGGTTGGTTCCTTATCTTTGCAATTGTTAATTGTGCTACTATAAACAAACAGGTGCATGTGTCTTTTTCATATAATGACTTCTTTTCCTTTGGGTAGATACCCAGTAGTGGGATTGCTGGATCAAATGGTAGTTCTACTTTTAGTTCTTTAAAAAAAATCTCCATACTGTTTTCCACAGTGGTTGTACTAGTTTACATTTCCACCAGCAGTGTAAAAGTTTTCCCTTTTCACCACATGCATGCCAATATCTATTGTTTTTTCACTTTTTAATTATGATCATTCTTGCAGGAGTAAAGTGGTATCTTGTGTTTTTAATTTGCCTTTCTCTAATTAGTGATTTTGAGCATTTTTCATGTTTGTTGGCTGTTTGTATATGTTCTTTTGGGAGTTGTCTATTCATGTTCTTTGCTCACTTTATTTGTTTGCTTCTTGATTTGTCCGAGTTTCTTGTAGATGCTGGATATTAGTCCTTTGTCAGATGCACAGATTGTGAAGATTTTCTCCCACTCTGTGGGTTGTCTATTTACTCTTCTGATTATATCTTTTGCTGTGCAGAAGATTTCTAATTAGGTCCCATTTACTTATTTTTGTTTTTATTGCATTTGCTTTTGGGGTCTTAGTCATGAATTCTTTGCCTAAGCTAATGTCTAGAAGAGTTTTTCTTATGTTATCTTCTATAATTTTTACGGTTTCAGGTTCTTCCCCTACAGCCCAGAGATGACCCTGAATCTTGATCTGGTGAGAAGGGGAATGAGATCCAGATGAAGACCTCATGAGTCCACAGAGTGTATTGGTTGGGATTTGCATTTGGTTGCATATAAAAAAAATTCATTCTTGGTGATTAAACCAAACAAGAATTTATTTTTCTCATGGTAAAAAGAAGTCTGAAAGCAGACTGCCCAGGGTTTATAAAACAGCTTCAAGATGCTATCTGGGAACCGAGATCCTTCGATCTGTCTTTCTTAATGTATGGCTTTATCCTCATGGCTACAAAATGGTTTCTTCTTTTGGCATTACATCTGTGTTCCAGGCAGGAAGAAGGGAAAGAGTGAATGGTGAAAGGTAGAAGGCCTCCTTACTAGGCTTTGTCTTTTTATTTAGGAAGGCACACTGTCAATGCTTCACTTACATTTCACTGATCACGACTTGGTCACAAGACATAGCTGCAAGGGAGTGTAAACGGTGTTTCAACTGGGCACATAGTCATCTTTTAGAAAATCAGGGCTCTTTTAGTAAGGGAGAAGGGGGAAATAAATGTTGTGGGAGTGACTAGAATTATTTGACACACAGTTCCAAAGCATCTCAATGAGATCCATATTCGACTGAAGATGTGGCAGTTGACCAAGAACTTGGCAATTAATTGCCACAACAGTTGAGAAGGCTACAACTTCCATCTTGGTAGCAATGGAGAAAAGCAAGGCCTGTCATTTGTCCAAGTCACACTACATGGAAGCAGAGGAATTGAATAACAACTGTAGGTCTCCCAGATCCACAGACCTTATTGCCTCGTCACAAAGACAGGATAGCTTCAGGAGAAAATTTACTACCATCAGATGAGTTGTTAAACAGTAGCACTTGCTAAGAGACTCAAGTAGATTAATCAATGGGTCTCCTTTTAGAAATTATTAAGGAGCTACTTCTTTATATTTGTAGATACTTGTATAAGTATAAACATTAGTTGGCATCATATTTACCCTTCTATTAGCTGTAAGATTGGTTTTAACATATAGTTTATATGAGTCATTAGTATTACTAGTTAAGAACAATGGGCTCTTTTTGTTTTGAAGAGGAGGCTTTCAAAAATCAGTAATGAATTTTAAAAATCACTGGGTCATACTTAAGCTAATAAAGGATTTTTAATATAAAACTGCCAAAGGGGTGCTAGTTAATAGTTTTGCTAAGCACCCATATCATTTTCACATAGCTATCTAGGATGGCATGACTTAAAATGGGGTTAGAAATACCCTCTTACCCCATCTGAAATAACATCCCCAGGGGACCAGTGTATCTACAATTCCACCATTAGAAATTCATTGCTTTGGCTTTATATTTTATAACTTCAGGAATTTTTAAAGAAGCAAGTAGCTCTGGAGTCATAGTAATGATTGGCAATTTTTTATTGTTTTTGACTTGACATTCAGTCTCAAGGGAAAAAAATTCTAGTAAACTGTCATGAGCAGAAGGTAAAAGAGATGGCTGAGGGCCAGGTGTGGTGGCTCACGCCTGTAATCCCAGCACTTTGGGAGGCTGAGGTGGATCACCTGAGGTCAGGAGTTTGCGGCCAACCTGGCCAACATGGTGAAACCCTGTCTCCACTAAAAAAAAAAAAAAAAAAAAAAAGCTGTGTGTGGTGGCAGGTGCCTGTAATCCCAACTACTTGGGAGGTTGAGGTAGGAGAATCATTTGAACCTGGGAGGCGGAGGTTGCAATGAAATGAGACGGCGCCATTGCACTCCAGCCTGGGAAACAAGAACTAAACTCTGTCTCAAAAAATAAAAATAAAAATAAAAAGATAGCTGAGTCAGAAAGTTTTGGGCAACCCAGGGACAAAATGAAGTGCAGTACTTATACTTTGTTAATCATTTCTTTCTTCATTAACTCCACATATACCACACTTTTTCTGACTTTTTAAAAAATCTCTAGCTTCTCTGTTATTAAAATTGCAGGCAATCAGCACACTTATGAAGTATTCAATGTGCACAAAAGCAGTAGTTCCAAACCTTGACTTTAGCTAAGCAAAAGAACTGGGGATATTTTTAAAAGACTCCTGACAATGACCCTCACTCTTCCCCCATTACTATGAGCCCCGTAAGAACAAAGAGTCAGTATCATGCATTTCTCAGCATCTAGCCCTGTGCTTGGCATTTTGGCCAACACATAGCTGTGAAGTGAATTAA